TGTAAAATTTACACTCAACGTTTAGATAAAAGAAAATTGGAATAAATCAAAAATATAAAATCTGATCGGATTCACACGCGCTGCTAACTAATGACCTTATTCACTTTGAAAATAATGAATTAATCTTAAAATTAAAAATTATGTATACAACTATTTATTATTTAATCATTGATAAATTTAGTTATCTCAGACGTTTTACCCAATGTATGAATCCTAACTTTGTCGGAATCTTTTTATCAACGTTTTCAAAATTTGTTCGATTTATTTACGTTGAACGCGTCAAAAACATACACCCAACTATTATAATGTATTATAAAAATTAAAAGACCACGAAAAGTATGTAACCTGCATTATTAGCTTTTCGAACTTAATTTACGCAATTAAAATAAATATACAAATATACAATGAATGAATTTTGTTGCATCAATCTCATTAGTTGTCATTGCGGATAACAAGTCAGTACGAGAAAGTCCATCAGAAAGTGTCCGCGCGGGAGACACTCGGGTTTATACAGATCGGTTGATGCCGGAGTTATTGGTCGAGAATTCAGTACCACCTCTATGCGGCACAAAAATGTCGCGAATCACGACAATAATAATTTTATTCAAGAAATAAACAAAGCTCTCTTTACTGCTCAATTTCAATTGAATCTATACCGGAAATTTCACACACTGGCCCACTTGCATTCATAATTCGTTATGTAAATGAACATGGTGAATCAGTTGAACGCTTTTTGTGCTGCATTGATAACGTATGACATAAATCTCAAGAAATGATGGATGTCATTATTTATATATTTAAAAAGTACAATTCGAATACAAATTATTTAAGAGGCCGGTCTTTTAATAATGCATCAAATATGTGAGGCACATACACTGGATTACAGACAAGAATAAAATCAATTAATTCACTTGCTAATTTTGTACTATGCTCAGCACATTCTCTCAATTTAGTTGGAAAAAATGCAGAAAGTTGATGTCACGAAGCAAATTAATTTTTTAGATTCCTTCAAAACCATTAGCCATTTTTCTCTGTTTTTGATGATGATTTTTTTTTGATGTTTTTGATATTTTCACAGATGGAAAATTCTAAACGTGTCAATAAAAATTCTTTTCTAGACTCAATTGTCAACAAGAGACGATGCGTGTAAAACTCTAAACCAAAATTGGCCTTCAGTTTTAAGAGCATTAACTGAAATTCTTAAAGACGAAACCCAAAATGTATCTACTCACTGTGAACCAAAAACTACATTAAAAACTATAAAAACCTCAAAAATATCGTTTTTGTCAATACTATGAGGAGATATTTTAGAAAGGTTTTATGCGTGTAGTAAGAAAATAAATTACAGTCAGTTTAAATTTATTTGGGTATTCTTGTAGAAATTTATCAGCCCACGATAGGTTTTATTCACAACATTCGTTATGATGACATGTTTAACAATTACAAAAACTCGAGCTATGTAAAAATGTGGTGTTTCAAGTTTAAGAACAAAAAACCAAAATGAAACGTAGACAATTTTTTAATAAAATCATGAGAAACATGTCTTTGATGATGAATTTGAACATTTCACTGTTAACAATTTTATCTTAATTTTAATCCACATTAAATCGGATCAATAAAAGAGAAAAATTACTTATGAAAATTTCACTTCCAAGTATAATTTGTTTTTATCATCTGTCACAGTTAATTCCCGATAAAGTTCGAAAATAGTCTGAGTCATTTCAAAATGTATACAAATATGGTTCTCATTCTTTATGGAATGTGTTCGCCCAACATCCGGACCGACGAACGCTACTGCTGCTTCCAACAATCCGCCGAAATCCGGTGGGCTGGACGGCTAAAAGCGCCGCGTACAGGTTGACGCAGTGGCGGTGATAACGGCCTGCGCCGTGCTGCTATTCACCGGTTGACGGGGCAGAGGAAGTTTGTCACGCAGTCCGAGTGGACGTCGATCAGAGATCCAGCGACGGGCGACGAACCGATCGAGTACCGCAAGGAACGTCACCGGACCGGACACTAGCTTCGAATGGACCGCCTCGACGCTCAGGTATACGAACACGGTGACGGTTTTGCGGGTCCGCGACCGGTGTTCTCGCATCGAGACGGGTCCGGCGTAGTCCGGCGAATCGGCCAGGGAGACCGGGCGCGGATCGGACGTGCGAGACGCACTTAGCTAGCGGGTATAATGGGTAAGCGCCGAATACACTACGGGAGACGTATCGATACTGTCCAGTATTAACGACTGCGTTATCGATCGCATATAATTTTTACAGAATTTTATCCGCATTTTCGGGGTGGTGCAAGAATAAAAAACTGTGCGGTATATAAACGATAGGGAGTAGCGGCAAGACTACTGAGACGCGGGTGGAAGCCAGGGCTACCGGGGGAAGGGCCGCGATAAGTTCGCTCATGGGTAGTTGGTCACGCGGAGCATGACAACCGACCTAAAGCGTCCACGAAATTCATTTACGCTCGAACAGAGGAAAGACGTCGCCAAGTAAAAATAAATTTGTAAACAATGTATGGTATGGATATCTCGGTCAACGGCTAGACAAAAATCAAAAATGAGTAAAACTGAGAGAAGATTTTAATAAAGAAGATTGAGGTGAACTTGGTTACTACCTCGGGCCTTAGCCGACACAGATAATATATCAAATTAGGACGTATAGGTAATTCGATAAACCGAGCAAATATACCGAATTTGATTGTTAAATGAAAACTTTCAATACCTAATTATTATTGTAACGAATTCATTGCAACAATAACCTAACTTTACATATGATAACAAAATATTAAACATAAATTATAAAATAAATTTATATTGCAGCACTCCGAAAAAGCAGAGCTTGTGCTGTGATTGCAAGTTCATAAAACGAAAAAAATGTAAAGTAAGAATAAATGTAGTTACAAATAATAATTAAAAATGAAAATTACAATCATAAATAGAATAAGGAGACTTAATTCAGCTAGACACAATTACTATAATAGAGCATCAGTGAAAACTTCATTAAGCAAAACAGATTTTAGAAAATACCTACCATTTTGAGACAAAGTTGAAGTGGGTTTAGATTTATTATAATCCAATAAAAAGTTAATTTATATTTTAAAAATTTAAAATTGCAAAGTATTCAATTTAGTTTTAAAGGCATGTAAATGAAACATTATTATCGCATAATAGTTTTATAAATAGACAATTAGAATTGCTGAAATCAGAAAAGGAACAAACTAAAGCTTTAAAAAAATACCACTGGCAGCAAGCCGTTTTGTCGTATAATATAGAGTTATATGATAACATAAATTTCACTCCGAAACTCAACCTATGCTATTCAAAAACGTTTCTTTGATTTTGAAACTGCGGTCGGCGCGTTATCGATAATGAAATCGGAAATGAATTCGCGTGTGGTGGATATATTAGGCAAAAATCTCACGTGTTTCTTTGGTCTTAAACCTGCGGTCGACCTGTTATCGACAATGATACCGTGAAGGGGTTTAAGGGGGGTGGGATTATTAGACGAAACGTCTACTCGTTTCTTTGGTTTTAAACCTACGGACGGCGTGTTATTGATGACGGTACCGTGAAGGGGTTCGCGGGGGGTCAGTTTATTAGACGAAACGTCTACTCGTTTCTTTGGTTTTAAAACTGCGGACGGTCTGTTATTGGTGACGGTACCGTGAAGGGGTTCGCGGGGGATGGGTTTATTAGACGAAACGGGTAAGAGTTTCTTTGGTTTTAAACCTGCGGTTGGTTTGTTATATGCAATGTTACCGGGAAGGGGTTCGCGGGGGGTGGGTTTATTAGGCGTAACGCGTAAGCGTTTCTTTGGTATTAAACCTGCGGTCGGCCTTTTATCGGTAACGATATCGGGAACGGGTTCACGGGAGGTTCCTATTTCGATGGCATTGAGTTTGCGTTTTAAGATTTTGTTTGGCGGGATCGCGGCGGCGATATGGGGTTTTGTGTTAATGGTAACAGGATCGGAAAAGGGTTCACGGAGAGTTCCTTTTTCGATGGGATTGAGTCCGCGTTTTAAGAATTTGTTTGGCGGGATCGCGGCGGCGATATGGGGTTTTGTGTTAATGGTAACAGGATCGGAAAAGGGTTCACGGAGAGTTCCTTTTTCGATGGGATTGAGTCCGCGTTTTAAGATTTTGTTTGGCGGGATCGCGGCGGCGATATGGGGTTTTGTGTTAATGGTAACGGGATCGGAAAAGGGTTCACGGAGAGTTCCGTTTTCGATGGGATTGAGTCCGCGTTTTAAGAATTTGTTTGGCGGGTTCACGGTGGCGATATAGAGTTGCGTGTTAATGTTAACGGGATCGGGAAGGAGTTTCTGATAGGTGTTCATAATAGGTGAATAACATACGCCTTTCTTCGATGTGAAACTCGCAGTCGGTGATTCGACTTTGTCACTGGCGTCAGCATAACAGTCGCCTGTGGTGAAAGCCGTTACCGGAGTCGGCGGCAGGTTGGTGGCTGGTGCGGCAGAAGTATAATAAGTGAAAGACGCCACAATGTTGTAAGCGATCGTCCGTTTCGAATAGTACTCCACGTTAAAAACGTGCGTGAACGAATTTCCGATCACCACGATCAGCATTTGGTCCAGCGATCCACGGTAAGGTATCGAAAAAGTCGATTTAACGGTTAAATCGGACGCAGAAATGCGCCGCAACAAAATCGATTTCACCTCCGGCCGCGTTCTGGCGATGACAGACGTCCCGTCCTCGTATACCGTCTGGTACACGCCGGTTTCGTGGTAAAAATCGCTTGCGAACTCTGGTGTCGTGCACAGTTCGGCATAATAATTCTCCGCGAAACAGGCCCCGATGTGAGCTACGTTTTCGGAGATCGTCTTTGGGTCCAGGTAAGTCATTGTATCGGAACTTTCACTACTGTGTTGAATTTTCTAGAAACAATTAATAGATAGAGCATCAGTGAAAACTTTATTAAGCAAAACCGATTTTAGAAAATACCTACCATTTTGGGACAAAGTTGAAGTGGGTTTAGATTTATTATAAACCAATAAAAAGTTAATTTATATTTTAAAAATTTAAAATTGCAAATATTCAATTTAGTTTTAAAGGCATGTAAATGAAACATTATTATCGCATAATAGTTTTATAAATGGACAATTAGAATTGCCGAAATCAGAAAAGGAACAAACTACAGCTTTAAAAAAATACCACTGGCAGCAGGCCGTTTTGTCGTATAATATAGAGTTATATGATAACATAAATTTCACTCCGAAACTCAACCTATGCTATTCAAAAAGGTTACACGTTTCTTTGATTTTGAACCTGCGGTCGGCACGTTATCGGTAATGAAATCGGAAAGGTATTCGCGTGTGGTGAATATATTAGGCGAAAAACTCACGTGTGTTCCTGCTTTTAAACCTGTGGTCAACATGTTATCGGTAATGATACCGTGAAGGGGTTCAGGGAGGGTGGGATTATTAGACGAAACGTCTACTCGTTTCTTTGGTTTTAAACCTACAGACGGCCTTTTATCGGTAACGGTATCTGGAAGGGGTTCACGGGAGGTTCCTATTTCGATGACATTGAGTTTGCGTTTTAAGATTTTGTTTGGCGGGTTCGCGGCGGCGATATGGAGTTGCGTGTTAATGGTAACGGGATAGGGAAGGGGTTTCTGGTAGGTGGTCATAATAGGTGAATAACATACGCCTTTCCTCGATGTGAAACTCGCGGTCGATGATTCGAGTTTGTCACTGGCGTCAGCATAACAGTTGCCTGTGGTGAAAGCCGTTACCGGAGCCGGCGGCCGGTTGGTTGCTGGTGCGGCAGAAGTATAATGAGTGAAAGACGCCACAATGGTGTAAGCGATCGTCCGTTTCGAATGGTACTCCGCGTTAAAAACGTGCATAAACGAATTTCCGATCACCGTGATCAGCAGATGGTCCAGCGATCCATGGCAGGGTATCGAAAAAATCGATTTCACGGTTAAATCGGACGCAGAAATTCGCCGAAACAAAATCGATTTCACCTCCGGCCGCGTCCTGGCGATGACAGACGTCCCGTCCTCGTATACCGTCTGGTACACGCCTGTTTCATGGTAAAAATCACTTGCGAACTCTGGTGTCGTGCGCAGAACGGCATAATAATGCTCTGCGAAACAGACCCCGATGTGAGCTGCGAATTTGGAGATCGCCTTTGAGTCCGGGTTAGTCATTGTATCGGAACTTTCACTGCTGTTGAATTTTGATAGAATTATTAATGAATGCGTTAAAATAATTTTTTTCTTTTTCTCAAACAATGTTTGTTATACGTCGGATCGTATATTTCACTAGCTATTTGACTATTAAAACAACACGATTTATGTTGTTTAGCAACGAAAATAATATTAGCCGGTTTATTTTTGTGTTTTGACTACGTCGCTCCACGGTTTCGATCGGTTATTCGTCATTTGCAGTGGTGAATCCGAGAATCTTCAATAAGAGAGGACGTAGCAAAACAAAAATTGTAAAATCTTCTCGTCTACGCGACTCGACTATGGGTATTGATGTATACCATGTCAATCAGATTTCCTTTCAGTAAAACTGTTACACATAGAATTCGGAGAAAATTGAGATTTCTAGTAGAAAAGTTGCCCATAGAAAAAAAAATTTAAAAAAAATTTCATTTTAAAACCAATACATTCCTCGCTCCGCTCAAAATCTTAAAATATATCATAGCAAAACCAATAAATTCCTTGTTACTCTCAGAATCTAAAATGGATATCGTGTTCCTCAATATGCTTAGAATTTAAAATATAAAAATCAGAAAAAATACTTTCCCGAATATTTACTCAACATATACTCATACTGAATATTATTTTTATATAGTCAAAGAAAAGCCTCGAATAAAAAATGAAAAAAAAGATGGACATACTACGCACGATAGGTTAACCATTATTTTAGGTGAGTAGTTGGGGAAGTAAGATAGAAAGAGAAATGCAATTTATGTCTGTATCCAAGAATAAACCATTGCTAACGAAAAACGATTAGGAGCGAAGTATCTTTTTTACATTAACGTAAATTTTCCTGTTTTTCATAGGTTTTTTCCCGAATTTCCAAATTATTTTAAAAATTGCTTGGAAAAGAGAACGGCCCCTTTACGTACCCTTTACCCTTTTTACTTAACACATCAAAGGAACAATTCTGGTAGAAAAGTAGCTCACAGGTTAAAAAAAAGAAAAACTATTATAAAACCAATAAATTCCTCACTACTCTCTGAATCTAAAACAATAATAATCCCCATAACAAATTAGCATTTTTAAACATTTTAAATACTAGATTTAATGTGTAAATAAAATTACACCAATAGTTAAACACATATTATATAAAGTACACTAAATGTATTAATCAAAGTTTAAGATAATAATAATCGTTAAAAATAAAAATATATTAGTTATCTATACTTACTAAAAATTATAAAATATTTTCATTTAGCACGCAGAACGCATATCGCTTTAAAATGTATGTGAAAATTAGACGTAATTCTCACTGTTTGCTTACAGTTTTACATTCTGAGTGAAGCGAAGAAGCTTATAGTATTACAAAAATATTTTATTTTTTACTGTGAACAAAAATTTTACAAGAAATCTTGCTCCAATATGTACATGCAACACCATTTTTGAAAAGGGAATCGGTGTAGAGAGATACATTAAGGAAGTCATTTTTCAATTTTCTCATCAGATGAGAAAAATCAAAAACAAAAATTTAGAAAAAACGGGAAAATTGGTACATTAATAAAATATCATTAAAAACAATACATAAGGCCTATTTAATTATTTTACCATAATATGACATATATATTATTGACAAAGCATCAGTATCAACTGAACTCTGCTCAGAATCATTTTTTCATTAGCAGTTGTTAATCATTGCTAACACATATGCATTAAATTACCTATAACAGGAGCTGCACCCGTCCTCATTATCCTAGGACATATTTTTAAAATATTTATGCATTTGTTGTCAAGTTATCAAAGTTTTTCAGAAAGTCGATTTTTAATAAAGTGTGATCGTAGATTTGTCTAAAAAATTATTTTAGAAAACCATCGTAGTCATGTTATACTAAATGTTAGACTAAAATTGAATCTCAAACGTAAAAATAATCCGTTCAAATTTATCTATAGCGATACAAAAAAAAAAACCAAATTATTTTTTTCAAATTTGTCATCAAGAAAAAATTGTCAGACTACGTTTTATTATATCCTATTGTTTTCCATAAACAACAAAACAATACAAATATATGGGAAATTTTCTTGGCTGTTCTACCGGATGAAACTATTATTAGGTATAACATAAGATACTATTTTTTTCTAAATTATCTATACATTTTTATTATGGTTCTTATACGATAAAATGTCTCGAGTTTCAGTAATTTTCCGCGTCATTCGCAGGGTTTTCTTACATCAGAAACATTATTTTGCAACTAATTTATCATTGTATTTGATCTACAATAACATATATCTTATCATATTATAAATTACATTTCATTTTTGTATTATATTATATTTTAATAAATGCATTCCTTCTTATTTCCTAAGTGTATAAGTGGGAAAGTTTTTTTCCTCAATTTTTAAGCAATAATTATACTACTAATTACTAAATAAATTTAATTTAATAGGTTTTTAATAGTATTATATCGGTTACCTACATTAGTTACTCACTGAATGACTCTGCGTTGGCCGTGAAAAATAATTGTCAACGCCACTCCTTTTAGATGTGACTCAATATGATAACAAAGTATTATTATGAAGCTTAAGATGTCTGCCATAAAGGTCAAAATGTTATAATTATTTGCTACTCTTTGGCTAAAGAAAAAATATAAGGACAATTGTATTTCACGAGCTTCAACTAATTGTCGTAGTTGTATTAAAATCACTTAAAATATATAACCAAGGTTTTTTTAAGAAACTTATCTATAGTCGACATTTTAATTTATTTTTTTTTAATTTAGGGCTGCAGGGCATATAAACAATCAGACGATCTTACTCTGGAACAGGCCACATAGAACTTTCCATAAGAGAAACCATCGTACATACTTAACTTTGATATGACCGAATAGAAACAATCAAATCGTAGTTGTCAAATCTATCTATATATATATATATATATATAAAAGCGAAAGGTCACTCATTCTATCACTGATTAAACACGAAATGTATTTTGAACGCGGCGGTACGCATGCAGCAGTGTGGCTTTACAGGGCGCGGAAGCGTATATCGTTATATAAGTCTCATTAAATAAAAGATTGATCAAATGTATCAATTTTATTTCCTAATTAAATGGGTCGTATAAGACTACATTCCATTTCAAACGTTACATTTTAAACCAGTAATAAACCAGAAATAACTCATTTTTATGTCCCTATCAGCAAAAACATAGAACTTTTATATAAACTCACGATAGTCTTAATTCGGTCTTATCGAAAAAACCATTCTTAGCTGATGTCTCCTACCTATAATCTATTTATTTGCCAAATTTCAACTTCATAGGTCAAGTAGTGTTTGAAATTTCGTGTTTAGTCAATGAGTGAATGAGAGACATTTCTCTTTCGTGTATACGCGTAATATAATAATTTAATAATTTGTATAACATATGTGTAGATAACACTACAGAGATGCATTTTCTAAATTATATCATTAATTTGATTTAGGTTAAATTATTCAAGTTGGATATATTCTACAAACGCGTATCTATACGAGTATTATATGTTGCCATTCATTTTTGAAAAACAATAGATTTGCATGATATCAACCGAGTCACATTAAATATTATTATGAGGTATCTAATTTAATTTAACCACATGACCTATATTCTTAAGATAACAGTTTGAAAAGTATCTGTATGGTCTCGATGGCCAGAAAATGAGGAGAAGACCTTTATTCTTTGATATTTTAAGCCTTACATGTAGTTTTGAAGTTTGTGTGCAAATAGTATAATAGTGGGTCACGTAAAGTTAGTTCGTCGCCCTTTCGAACATTTTCTTAATACATATGCCAAACGTTAGACACGCAAATTCCAAATAAATGAACTTCTGAATTCTCACTACTCATAACTATTTACTAACTTTGGATAGCTATTAGCATTTTATAACTGAAAAATATGACAAGGTACAAGTATGGACCGACTTTATGGAATACCTTTTATAATATTCATCAGTTTAGAAGTAGATATTAAAACTTATTATGCGAAAATTTAATAAATATAATCTAATATTAATCCGAATTAACTTAATTAAATAATAATTTATTCGTGTTATTTTTAAAAACTAACTGAAAAACTATCGCGAGATTCATCATTTTTGGTTTACTTTGTTTATCGTTTATTTTGTGTTTAAAATATCAAATTATTATAATAATAAGACTATGTATATATACTATGAAGTACGGAGAGCTCATAGAGACTTATAAACATAAAACTGTATAAATAATTTTAAAATAAAAGTTCCTTTTCGGATTTTATGTATTTAAAACGGTCCTGCCTTGGTATTTTTTAGTTGCGAAAAAAAACCCGGTCAACTCCGGTCCTGTTCAGTGGATTATTTGATCAGTCCGGTGCGGCCCTGATCTTAATTTCACTTCACTAGTCCAGTCAGGTTTTTGAAAACCCAGACCGTTCACGGCTCTAGTATGTACTCTATCTCTTATATACAGTTGCGAATTTTGTAATGCGGTTTTCACCAAACGATTATTGAGGTTCTAAAGAAGGTCCCCGTTTATTTGTAATCCAATCAGTTTACATTTGTACATTGCACATACAACGCGAGTTGTTTTACTCATTGGGAGCTTACGCTACTTCGATACTCCGGTTTAAATCGGTATATTATAATACACTTTAAACTGTTTGGATTAGTAAATCGATTAATAATACGCGCGTAACAAAATATTACAATTTGTTGTTACTATAATTGTTGAATAGTTGCGAATCCCAGTAACTATAATAATATGTAAATCCCTTAATGTTTTAATGCTCGCATACGCAAATCATTTAAGGAATGAAACCGAACCGGCGGCAATCGGCGGCGGCCTACAGCCCAATTAACTTCCACAGAACATATTAACAAACATTATTAATAAACGGTCATTAAAGCGCAAACCGTTTGTTTTCGTTGCTTGAAAATAATTAGACAATATTATCCGAACCCAGTGTTTGAAATGATAGGTGTTACCGCGGATAAAAA